TTTCAAAACATACATATACGCTTTCTTCAGGTATAAAATGTAAAGACAACGTTATTCTCTACCAAACGACCAAAAGGAAGCTTATTTTATGCATGTTTCCTATAAAATGTACTTACTTTTATCAGACAATAAAAAATCAATGTTAAAAACGTATGCCACTTAAGAAGTCATTTCTTACCAAGTACGGTTTCTGCAGGAGAATAAAAAAGGAGTGCATTCAAAAGCCGACATCCTGGCGAGTCAGAAACATTATAGGATTATGCCGCTTGATGATCAATATTGCAACGGTACCTACGTAATTTTTCCTAATAGGAAAGGCCTTTCCGAATTTCGGTCAGCATTTCATGAGATCGGTCACTCCCTGTAGTTCAGCTACCTTGTCTTCCGATTTACTGCAAAGCGTCTTCACGCGCCGACATATCGACCTTACGTAACTGCGTTTGCGGCTGATTGGGTGGTTGCTGTTGAAGCGCAGTACTTGTGTCGGATTAGTCACTTTCCTGAACTCTTTAGTCTGGCAAGCAGTGTTTTGAGATTAGCATGTGACATGGCGGAGACGCAGATAGAAGCATATCGGTGAGGAATGGCTGTTGTCTGTGATAACCATGGATGCGGAGGAGTCCTTTCATGTCGACTCCTGGTCGAAGTTTTTATGCCCTCATGCGTGGTGACGAGACCAGTATCCGTGGACATATCTGTTGACAGTTTCCATGACATATGCATAAACATTAAGATGGCAAGATAGGTTCAGATTCAGTGGGAAACTGGGTGAATACTCGTCCCCTAACAGTATCAGCTAACGCACTATCTTCGTATAGCAGACAAGTAACTAGTCGAAGTAAGTTCATCGACGTATTTTTCAATGCTCACAAAAAATAACACTATACGAAGCAGTAATTTTCCATTATTTTATTAATACGTCAGGGCAGCTGATAGTTGCAGTAGTGAGGACTGTTTGTTGTGATGTAAACAGGGGATCCAAAGAAAAAGGAGGGACGAAATGCGATTGGTTTTTAAAATAAGTTAGTGCATTTAAGTAAACTTGGAAAAATCTCAGAATGGGGGCACGAATAATAAAACGAAAGACATTTCCGTCCGTTGCTTGCTGCTGACTTCAGCGGCTTAGTCATCAAATGCGAGGTGACCCCGATGAGTGCTGTCCTAATTATTCCCTGATGCCTTGACTTTTAGGGATGCGTTTCCAACCAGATTTTACATATTTTCCGCGGCCAGCTAGTCAGCCATATCTCAGCACAGTGTTAAAATTAGGATCAGTAATTCACTGGGTATCTAGATTTTGCAAGTTATCCGGACAAAGCAACTGAAGCATTTCCCGGCCTACCATCGGTACCCAGTAAGGAAGTCACACTTACTTTTAACCTTCCCATTAGTGCGCAATGTATGCTGCTTAGTGCTGTTTTCGGAATGTCAGGAAAGGTCGGTCTGAGTAAGGCTCTTCTGACGAAAAGTTTAGCTTTCATTAATTCATGTCTCTCCTGCGAAAACTGCAGATAGATTTATCCCTGATTTTTTTTATTCGAAACTTTCTGTAGGTTTAAATATCACCATTGAGAAGGAACATATTTCCCTACGCATTTAAGCATGTTGTGCAATCAGACGAATGCGACTAGAAGGTCTAAAAATGGATTACTTTCACCAGACGTTCTGTTATTGATTCCTGATACTGTGGCCGGACGCATCGACAGATACGATTGTTGGGCACAGGTTTTCAGGAAGAGTAGAAAAGGTGGATGTTTAGGATTCAGACAGAACGATGTAATCCAGCTCCGTCAGGGAACTGCGAAAGAAACAGCAGTCGCAGAGCAATATGCAACGCAGTGAAGTCGCACAAAAACCGCAAACTGCTAGATTGCCTAAAGAACCCGAGGGCGTCTGTTATCATAGCCTGATAGACTGTAAAAGTCCGGGAAACACTCGCCAGTGGCGCGCACTGCCAAGGAAGTGAATATTTGCCTTGTTTTATGGATGATTTTAAAACCATCAACGAGCAAGATAACTAGTTGCTATTCACTAGTATTTTAACGCATTCTTCCCTGGCATGCATAACTATTCTGTCAGCTATATTTGTTTATTAATTTGAATAAAGAATACGCAAACTCAGAGGACTAGAAGCATGTAAAGCGATCTTTGAAGTTGAAAAAGTGGGAATACTTTGTCAAAAAACAAAACCTTAGTCTCTAACGAATATTGCATTTAATGTTGATTGTAGTTAAGGCACATGATAATTATGAGAATCCAACTTCCCGTCAGAACTAAATGAAAAATTTCTGCTCTGTATAGTGTTATGTTTTTGTCAGCATTGAAAAATACGTCGATGAACTAACTTCGACTTTTTACTTGTCTGCTATACTAAGATAGTGTATTAGCTGATACTGTTAGGGGACGAGTATTCACTCAGTTTACCACTGAATCTGAAATGCCTTTCTTGTCATTTTAATTTTTGGGCATATGTCATGGAAACTGTCGACAGATATGTCCACGGTTTCCCCTTCGAAACACCGCATGTGCGGAGATATCTCCACCAAGAATTTTAGCCGCATACTGATCTCGTCACCACGCATGAGGGCATAAAAACTTCGGCCAGGAGTCGACATGAAAGGACTCCTCCGCATCCATGGTAATCACAGACAACAGCCATTCCCCGCCGATATGCTTCTCTCCGCGTCTCCGCCACGTCACACGCTAATCTCCAAACACTGCTTGCCAGACTAAAGAGTTCAGGAAAGTGACTATTCCGACACAAGTACTGCGCTTCAATAGCAACCACCCAATCAGTCGGAAATGCAGTTGCGTAAAGTCGATATGTCGGCGCGTGAAGACGCTTTGCAGTAAATCGGAAGACAAGGTAGCTGAACTACAGGGAGTGACCGATCTCATGAAATGCTGACCGAAATTCGGAAAGGCCTTTCCTATTAGGAAAAATTACGTAGGTACCGTTGCAATATTGATCATCAAGCGGCATAATCCTATAATGTTTCTGACTCGCCAGGATGTCGGCTTTTGAATGCACTCCTTTTTTATTCTCCTGCAGAAACCGTACTTGGTAAGAAATGACTTCTTAAGTGGCATACGTTTTTAACATTGATTTTTTATTGTCTGATAAAAGTAAGTACATTTTATAGGAAACATGCATAAAATAAGCTTCCTTTTGGTCGTTTGGTAGAGAATAACGTTGTCTTTACATTTTATACCTGAAGAAAGCGTATATGTATGTTTTGAAAAAGTTTGCCGATGCCCGAATAATTCTGAGCCTGATCAACCGTGACATTAACTTTTAGCGATTTCAGTCTACAAGGTGCCTGCTTTCGGCGTAAGGAAAATCATATATTCCTCTATGCCTTTAAAAACATACCATGAAGATTTCACAAAACATTGCAGTGGATGCGGACTGTGTTTTACATTTCATGAGAAGCATTGGCAAACGGACATGTACGATGCTGTATGAATGGACATTGCGCGGTCTTAGAAATCTCATAATTAGAAACATTTCCCGAAACGAATTATACCCTTCCTTCAGGTATAAAATGTACAGATAACGTGATTATCTACCAAACGAGCAAAAGAAAGCATATTTTATGCGTGTTTCCTATAAAATATATTTAATTTCATAAGACAATCAAAAGCCGATGTTAAAAATGTATGCCACTTAAGCAGTCATTTCTTACCAAGTACGGTTTCTTTAGGAGGGCAAAAAGAAGTGCATTTAAAGGCTGACATCCTGGCGACTCAGAAACAGTATAGGATTATGTTTTTGATAATCAATATTGTAACGATCCCTGAGTAATCCTTCCTAAACGAAATGAATTTCCCAATTTCGGTCAACATCTTATGAGATCGGTCACTCCCTGTACCATATGTTCGACGGGTGCTTAGAATAAATAGGTACCTGCCCAACTTCGTCAGCCGCTGCATGCGAAAACGCGACGATGGACATAATTCAACCAGCGTCAAATTTTTTTACGAGCGTGTCCGGGGCTTGATAAATCTTTCGGAAGTCGCCAAACACCACCTCTCACCACTCTGAGTTAGGGTTGCTCGTGGACAGGAGGCAGCCATCTAACGTAAGGTTATGAGATTGAAAGGACCATTTTCACGGCAAAAAGTGTCTGGATTCGTTTACCGGATATCTGGTACAGTTGCAGACAAAGCAACTCCCTCACTGGAACTGGGAGACTATTCTGGACGCGAATGGCCCAGCATGCAGCAGCACTGAGGAGGAATCTTGGAGGAGGCTTATCTTGGCGCATTGTACTTTCGCAGGCGACAAACGTCTCTTAAGATAAGACTTTTGCAAACTATAAAAGCGAAAGTTTGTACGTCTAATGACTGTTAATACTGGGACAAAAATACAACCGCAGATGCGTATAGTGAGAAAATACACTCCCTTTCGTCAATATTTTTGTCTAAGAGCAGCTGATACCTCAGCTAAGCACCAGGCCGTCCGGAAATATCCCTTTGTAGCTAGAAACAGGCAATCATGGATACAGACATCGACCTCATGTGAGTTAGCCTTTATAGATACATTCGATTCTTGTCAAAACCGGCGGCCATATGCAATCCCCTTTGTGGACTACCGAATATTTGGAATGTGCTGCGGGTGGAGATAGCCCAAAGAATGTTTTATTTGCCAAAAAACGCCTGACAGGAACCAGCCTCATAACATTCTGGGGGCTTCTTCAACAGAAATAAATTTAAGAAATATTCTATCGTAAGACGTCCCAAAAAGGTATGCAAATTGTACACAAAATGACTCCGATTTTGCTGAAAAAACGGAAAACTGGTAGGCTTGCGGTTTACCAGTGGAACGTACTTATCAAAGTTATCATAAAATTACGAAAGTTTAAGTACGTCAAAAAGAAGTGAAGAAAGCTGACAGCTGTGAGCATTTATAGTCTCGGCAAGTGGACGGTTTTTCTGAAACACACGGTAGATTTATCCTGAAGACACTTCCGAAAAGTTGTCATCCGCGACAGCTGGCCTTATAACAGGGCGGAAGCCGCTCCATAAATTGTCCTAATGAACCTTCCTTCGCGTTTCACAGTCCATCGCCAGGTGGAAGTGTCGTCGTCGATTGCCAATTCCTCAATAGTGTGGGACATAAAACCTGCAATTACGACGGATGGACAGTCAGTCTGCCGTACTGAGAAGTCAGAGTTTGAGTAAACAGTGAGGATAAACGTCTATTGGAGAGCACATTAAATGTCTTCAAGATCAAATATAAAGTCTAGCAGTTACAAGAATGATATAACGGATAGCATCTGGTTCGCGAACATTTGACTATCCATCCAATAAAGTTCGCATAAATAGATTGTCTTCCTAGATGACACACATTCAAGCGATGCAGGTATATTAAAAGTCAATCAAACGCTCTTTGAATATGTTTGTTGATTGTCAAAATGGAAAAAGTTCGCTCTGCTAAACACGTTTAGACCACTGAGGAAAGCTATGCGACCCGCCGCAGTGGCTTGTCCATTGGCGTTATCTCATTATTTGGCAACACCCCAGCTGGAACATTCAGAAACCAAGCGTTTTTAAATAAGTCATGCTAAACGGGACTGCGCTGCGTTTAGCCACAATAACTGTAGAACCTGATTAATATTTTTCCTATTTGGACACAGCATGATCTATGCTGTCATTATGTCGAGTCATGCAGTATTTGCATTTAGCTGACAGTTTGTGGATGTTACGCGGTTTTGCTGCTCAGAAGAGTGAGGGTCGATCGCTTAACTAAGGATGACTTTCATCTGACAATCCGGATTCACCCTTAAGCGTATGATAAAATCTGGCAACTCATGGGGGTTGCTTATGCACAGAGAATGGAAGCTTTATGAGAAAAAGGGATGTTATGGAGGGAGACGATGGCAGCAAAAGCCTGTGCCAGCAAGGGGTGTTGAATAAGCCATCAGTGAGGTGCGACTGGAACACGCATTTTAAAGGCCGCCTAGGTCCCCGTTAACCGAAATGGATTAAATAGACCCGAACTAATGTCGAGAGGGAAAACACCTCGGATATACCCAGCCTTTACTACTTCCGAGATTATGTACCATACCCTATTTCACAGTTGATGAACAGTTTGCCAGTAGGTGTGTGGACCCATGACGAATGCCAAAATTGGCGTTTTGGCTAGCCCAGTTGCCGGTTTACCTCGCGCCAGCTGTTATCCGTGTCATCTGCCGGTTTTTGTTTTTTGTTTTGGAGCAGGGCGTGTGCTGGTATGCCTAGGTTTTCTCCGTGCCAGTCACCTGCGGTCTCTCCCAACTCCAGTCTTCTTGACTTCGTCATGACACCGGGCTCAGGCGTTCTTACAGCGACCGGAGCCACATGTTACTCAGCATTATAAACCGAGATTCTGGTGGCGTTAAATGGGTGATACTTGTAAGGCCAGAGAATGAGATCAGAAGCGTGACTGTCTGAACTAGAACATCAGCAAAGAAAGTACCGGATGGGCAACTGATCCTCTATAACGTCCACTGTAGAAGTCTGAAACGATGTCCTCGAACAGGGTATCATTGAACTAAATCTCATTCTCGATTGTCAGTATACCATAGGCCGAGAAGCTAACGCTGTTTGAGAATGCTAAGAAAAAGAAATATGGGGTTTGGATATGTGCTATAGATCGAATTTCAGTTGGTAAGCAAGCATATGTATACACGTTTTCTGCAAAAATCTCTGTTTTTCTTCTTCTATGGGAGTTCCGTGGCTTGGTCGGCTTAATGACATATTCTGCCTTGGTGTACGTAAGTGTATTAAGAAAGAAACAGCAATTAAATCATGCATAAATAGATTCTTTTTTTCCGAATGGGTCATGCGGAAAGCCACACTGTGAATAATGGCGGCCTATTAAATGATGTGACGCCTCACACTTAACGAAATCAGAGGTGATGACGAACGGTCGACGCCTTGACTTTTAGGCACTGAACGCGTTGGGAGTATTGTCAAACAACCTTCTGTATGCAGCCCCTTTTACTTAGAAGATGATAATTTTAATATAAGAGACTGTTCTGCTGGAGTTAATGACATTAAACCCAAACAGTTTTCACAGTGTTCTCAAACGCTACTTCTGCTATTTCAGGCTCTTCAGATGTTGTTCAGGGAGAGCATCAACTGATGAGCGAAATCATCCTACTGCCATACTGTGGGACGATGGGATGATTTTAAAAGTTGTTTATATCATGTGGCGAAAATCCTGGCCGAACTGAGATCGCCCAGTCAGATTTTTAGCGGGAAAGTGAACTAGCAGGGTTTCTAGTTTGAGATAGGCACAGGAGATATTCGTTGCTTCATCAAACCAGTGGGAGATGGCCGTTGATATTTTAGGGGGTTGATTTCAGATTTTTATATTGGATGCTTTGCTGCATAAGGACACCCTTTTCGAGATTTATTAAAAATATCCGGATTGGGATAATATGCGTCCTGATCTACATGAAAACGAGATAGATTTTTGCAGTTTATTTCTTGGCTATGTGCTCTCAAAGGACCAACTTGACCAACGGATTGTTAAGACGTACGTAGAACACTACTCACCTCCAACCGCGAACAGCCGATTAGAACAGATGAGGAGTATCGAACATGAGTTCAAAGAGGCCATAGGAGTGGCTAGGGTCCACTGTCCAAGAGGGTGATCAGCGTCCGGCAGGGAGAACACCTCCACGGTCTCTCCCTCGGGTCCACCACCTGCGGCTATCACCTTTCCCTTAAAGTAGGCCATGGCTAGATTGCTGCGGGCGCGAGTCAGCGGTGCAGCCGGGTGCCAGAACTCCCCGGCGTCGTTTGGCTGTAAGGCAGAGTTTAATTGGCAGAATTCCACACGAGCTTGCTCGCCCTCCGGGCATGGATATCGTGAGTTGCGGCCGCCTGCCAGGAAGACACGCCCATCGGGCAGAGCGACCGCTGCGCCGTCCATTCTGGACGTCAGCATTGGCGGCAGCCGATGAATTCTGCATTTGCAACAACGTAGAACGAACTTCTTAGAAGAATCGACTGTAGATAGCGCTATTACGCGGAACAGGTTCACCTAATGTCCTAGCCTGCACACTTATGCTGGCAGACTACTGAAATACAACTATTAGGTATAAGGGCTTTTGTCAGTTAATGTTGCAGCCACTTCAACAGAGACAGGAAGAGTAACGGTTTGAGGTGACTCAACGAAAGAGCTGACATTTAGGACAACCGGGGGACTCCAAAGATGAATTGCGTAAAAGGTAATGGGTGGAGAAAAAACAAACAGATTGCTTAAGACTTCCGTCATTCCGCTTCTCCTGAATTTCCAATGTAGCTGAAGGGTGATGTTTCTCAAAATTCTACCGTTCGCTCTATGGAAAGGGCGATGATAATTCATGCACGCACGTATTCTGATCAGTAAACGCTCTTTCTCGGTAATTTCTATTAATCATCGAAAACGACATGACAAACGGCCGCTGGTTAGGTCGCAGAGTTCTGGACTACTAAGCGCTCAGTTACCGAGAAAAGTGAAAAGTGAAGAACCTGGAGGTGCATTCCATACATATACAGTGTTTGACAGATCTCATGGAATGTTGGCCGGAATTCTGATATGCGTTTTTGATTAGGAAGGATAACTTGAGTGGATTAGTAATATTGATTTTTTCGCGCCATAATCCTATAGCACTTCAGACTTGACAGAATGTCGGCTTTTGAATGCGCTTCTTTTCGACCTCCTGTAGAAACCGAACTCGGTAGACAATGACTATTCAGCCAACGCTCTAACCACCTGAGCTACGAGGCCCCGCCGGACGACGCGAGTTTTATCACACTTGGGCCAAGTTAGCCGCCCAACCTACTGCAACGTCTGGAATCCACCAAATCTGATACAGTAAGTTGACTGCCCAAGCAGGATTTCCTAAGTAATTCACCTAGAATCCACCAGATGACTACTAGGCTCACGTAATTCATTGGTATTCAAAAGTAAGCAGGTAAAGATGTTTAACTCTCACTGATTTTGTCGGGGAACAAAGAGTTCCACGATCTTCACCGACTCTCCCCTCGTATTTTGGCCCCCACAAATGATAATTCCGTCCTGCCTCTGGGTTTCATCTCCTGAAAAGTCAGCCGTGACGCTACAAGTAGCAGTACGGCAACGCGGATATGCCAGGGGCGTGTTTGGGGTCCAACGACGAGTTCGAACGTTGAATTTGTCAATTTGGTCGGTTTCGTTTCCTTGTTCGTCCCAGAGCCTTCCTCCAACAACGTACACGTTATCTGAATCAGACGGAGATAAAGCACTGACTTTGTCGTTGGCGTACCTATATCATTGCAGACACAAGCGCACCAACAGGCGACGAAGTCACAAGCGTTCCCGACAGTCGTACATTTAGCATCGGCACTTAGCTGACTGTTGGTTTGGAGAATTTGGGACAAAAATGCCACCTCAAGTATAGAATCATGAAAAGCCCGCAGTTTCATCCTTCTTAACCATATCGGTCCGCGCAACAATTAAAACTTGGGAGGAGGGGCAACCAGTATATGTGGGAGCTCGAAGCAGCAGGGAGATAGAGGGTAGTCTGCTTCATACAATCCCACAGTTATCATTCCTCTTCTCGTGAGTTAAGGGATGGCTTCTATGTCGATCATGCGCTTCTCCTATTTGTCGTAGTAGAAGTGTAAATATTTTCACCTCCTTACACGAAGTTTCGGAAAAATAATGTTTACATGCTTGTACTATATTGGCGAGGATTAATCTGAAGGGTCATCTCCCTTACAAGAATAATATACAGTGGGTTGCGTATCTCTTGAAGTGTTACTTGCAAGTAGTATATTTGTTTCCTATCGGAAGGGATTACTTAGGTGAGATTTGGATACAGATTACCTTCAGCATAAACCGTAACTACTGCAGTCATGTCTCAATACCGGCTTTTAAACGCGTTTCTTTCCAAGCGTCTGCTAAAGTTGCAGTCGGTAGAGATGACTAGTAAAGTAGCACGTTTTTTCATGTATATTCGACGTCCCTGTAAATTCAAAACTACTACACAGAAAACACGCAAAACAAACTTCCTTACACATAGGCAATAGAAGATTAGATTAACTTTAAGTGCCACGCCCGGAAAACGTGTTCATGGGTTGAACAGACTAAAGTTTAAAGACGTTTTATAACTTTAAAATACCCATTTAAAAATGGATAAATGTCGCTTAGAAAGCCTAACTACGTCCATATCCATTGCAAAAGTGAATGGCGCTATATGGCTCCATCTTAATAATATGGCGGAGTATATGATTTTCCTTAAATGAAAAGTGTACAGCCTGTCGTTTCGGAACCCTAGACGCAAGCGCAGCGGCTGTTCGGAGCAACTTTATTGGTGCATTTAAAAAAAGTTTCGGAACTGAAAGGTCCAGTAAAATAGAACCAAAAATTCGAAGACGACTTTATTATTTAACATATGAGTTTGTGAAATGATATTTTTGGTCACGACTGTCTTTAAATATCGTCGAATTTGTAAAAACATTAAAACTACATGAGTATTCATTTCTTTGTTGAGCGTAGTTTTGGAGGCTGCAGGAAACAGCTCCTTCAAAAGCCGACATCACGACGTGAATGAAATATGTTGGAATTATGCTTCAAAATAACCAGTAAATGGTACTTTCTCATTTAAAACATATTTCTGAATTTCGGTTAATGTTTCACGAAATAAACCAACTAACATAATCATTTTGTACTTTAAACGATACTAGGAAATCTTGCAACATAATGTGGATGATCGGAAAGGGACATTGATGTGTAATACGCATTTGCCCAATCTTATGTTGCTTCATAAACACCTAGTAAACGGTAGCAAGCAGCATATGCGGAACATCGAATAGGGCGACAATTCATGACAAGATGGCATTCTTCATTTACTATTATCACGATCTAACCGCAGAAAAACCACACAACACATTTTGACGGAACAACATGCTTCCCACTATGAGTGATTTCAATTAGAAGAGGCCTAGGGCCACCTAACTGAGGTATTAGAAGTCTGTTTACATGAAATTAGCTCTGTTTAACTAAGAAAAAGTTGAAAGCAGTTATTTTCTTGCCTCCTATTCCGATGTATGTCGCAAATAGGCGCTCATGCATTGGCCCCAGATCCTCATCGTTGGCGGCATCTGGATCGTATCGCTCGATCCGATACTCTGAGTCATCCACTGCCCAGCCGAATAGAATGATGCTATTGTGTCCCGAGAGAGCCATCGTCAATGGCGTCCTTGCTTCCTAACTAGTCATACCTTGCGTGATTTGACAAGCTACATAAATGTCTCATCAACCAACCGACACAGAGATGGTAGCTTGGAGCAAGCGATTGGACAATGTCAACAACATCACTGCCAATCATGTTCAAGCTCGCTATGCGCGTGGCATGCACTGAATCACGCATTTCGGCTGAGCGTTCGCTCGCCACTTTGTCTTCTGAATAAAGCTATGGGGACTTTCACAACTCTAAACAAAAAAATAAAAGCAGAATTTTGACACGAGAGTATGATGGACGCGGAGTGTATGGTGAAGAATCAGAGAACAGCGTACATGAAATGCTTTTAGACGCTCTATCTAATGTTTTTGGACCAAGATAAACAACTTAACTTGCGTACTTGGCATAAACACGGAGTCTTCGCAAACGCCGAGTCAAGGTTTGTGAGCAAAATCCATGTTAAAATTCCATTGAGTTTGTAGAGGAATTCAAAGAAGTATCACTGTGTATACGCTGATAGGTCGAAGCCCCGAAAGCTGATTTGAAACCTGTCGACGATCTTTTCGCTTTGCTGAAAGCTAATTGAGAGATTCCAGAATTTGATGGCGTGAGTTCTGCTGCGACTGTAAATTTGGCTTTGTTCATTTCGAAAAGTAGTTCCCAAAGTACAAAAAGCATCCATCAGCATGATATTACAAATAGAAAACTTGTGTTAAAGGACCGACTTGCTTTCTATACAGTGATATCTGGTTCAGTTTTGATAAAAACTATTCCTTCCACATCGTTGGGTCTGCCACCTGATACTGTAAGCCTCCTCCACTTCTACTACCTTTACTGCTGCGGCATTTGTTTTACTATTGCCTCATCTTCACCTAGGTTCATGCCTGAGTAATGCTCTTACCCGGCACTGTAGTACCCAACTGGATGTCCATTGGATGATCAGGTGTTCATTCGTAGCGACCAATATTGCTTATCGTGTGAGGTGGCACTTCTATCATGAAAGATTTTCTTGACATGATGATTTAGCTACGAATCGAGAAGGTGCAAAGATTGCCGGTGTCAGGTTAATTCCGAATGCACTCAAGGACACTTCTACAGCCGTGGGTATGTCAGATGATTTATGCCCCAACCGACAATCGCAGGATCAAAAATATTATTTGGCCGACGCTTCAGACCTGTGCTCGAATTGTCCATCAGAGACAGGTGCAGCCAATGAAAGTGGATATATAAATGCTTTATTTAACTAGTCTTTGAAACTATATCATAAATACGTTAAAGCGAGTTGCACTGGCGTTGGTTTAGTGCTGAGTTCCATCATACACACCGTCGGTAACCGATAAGCCGGTGAAACAAGCAGTATTTTCTAAAGGCTGTTGAGTGATTGGATTAGCACTTTCGAATTCGCGGATAGGGACACAAAATTTATAACAAGATTAGGCACTGTGTTTTTACCAGAAAAAAGCGTACAATCTGCAGTTTTAAGCGCTCATGTCATTGAAGTGAATGGTCGCTTAAAACTGCAGATTGTTGTTTCTCTGCCTCCATGACTTGCGCCAGAAATTAATGTACAATTACCGTCGAAAAAGCCAAAGCCGCACAGACAGTAACTTATAAGTTGTGCCAATCATTCAGTTAGGTCTTCACGTCCAACCGGAAGACCCGCTCTCCTAACTCTTTGCGAACAAACACCGCGAACGTTTGTTTTCAATAGCAAAATGTTCCTTAACTGGCTTCTATGTATTCGCCATCCGAGGGCCACAAATGTAGAATGTACAAAATACTGTGAATGCAAGAGTCAAGATGTAACAGCGTTACGGTCCCGAGGGGCGGGTCCTCCTGACGGACGGCCAAAACACACTACATCTCGAGGTTTGGCCAATTTGGGGTTCCGCAGTTTGCAATGAGGCCGGTCAGCGAACCTGGCTGATGGTTTCTGGTGTTGGGCCACTCCAGTAATCCATCACCGCCGAGGTTTCACGATGTCTTTCAGTGAGTGACCGATCTCATTAAATGTTGGCTGAAATTCTGAAATGCGCTTTCGATTAGGAGGGATTACTTAAAGGGCGGTTGTAAGGTTCATTATCTTGCGACATGATCCCATAATATTTCGAACTCGTCAGGATGTCAGCTTTTGAATACACTGCTTTTCAATCTCTCGTATATGCCGTACTCGGTAAATATGACTACTTACTTAGCATGCATTTTTCCCATTTATTTTCGAGGGTCTTATAAATTCAAGTATATTTTATGGAAACCACGAACAAAAAATGCTTTCTTTTGGTCGTTTGATAGAGAATCATGTCATTTTATATTTTATACTCGAAGAAAGTGGATAATTAGGTTTTAAAAACGATTTCTAATTCCCAAATAATTTTGGGGCCAGATCAGCCGTCGCATTAGCGAATAGAAATTTCAGTCTTCAGTCTACATTTCATGATGAGCAGCGGTAAGTGGGCAGGTACGATGCTGTGTAGATGAACATTTCACGGTCTTAAAAAATCTCATAAGTATAAATGTTTAAAGCCTAATTATACTGCTTTTTAGGTATACAACACAACAATTACCTGATCCTTTATCAGACGAGTGAAAAACATGTTTTTGCTCATGTTTCCTATAAAATATATTTGTAAGACCATCGAAAATCGATTTGAAAAATTCATGCTTCTTAAGTAGTTATTTCTTACCGAGTACGGTTTCTATTGGAGGTTGAAAGGGAGTGCATTCAAAGCCGACATCCTTTCAAGTCGGAAATGTCATAGGATTATGCCGCAAGATAATCAGTATTACAAATCCACCCAAGTAATCCTTCCTAGTTGAAAACACATTTGAGAATTTCGGCCAATATTTCATGCCACCGATCACTTACTGTATGTTGGCGGGGAGGTGATAGCCGTGGACGCGGCGCCAAGTGCAGCTGACCTGGAGGTGTTCTCTCTGCCATACGTTAATCATCCTCTTGGACAGTGGATCCTGGTTACTCTGATTAGCATTTGAACCATCATCCCAGGTCTACCGGCGTATAGTAATCGGATTTCTGCCTTTGAGGATGACCAGTCTGTCATTATCGATGCATCTAACCGGTTCAGATGTGTAGATTTAAGCGCTCATTTGAAGTCTCATCCCTCAGAATTTTCAACTGATCAATAGCATGTCTAACATGCGCGAAACTTTTCTATAACGAAGCTACTTTTATTTCTTTTCGCAGTGTTGACATACATTTTCCGCGGTGTTAAGTGCTCGTTAATCTGCCCAGGTAGGTCATGCAAATTATGCAACATGCGGAAATTAACGATTAATTCCGAAGATGTTACTTGCCAACGTCAGCGGTCAACCGCAACGCTCACTAAGCCGATGAACTATCTTGACCAAAAGGGGAAATATAACGGAGCATGGAAAGCAAGATAAGGCACTTTTATGTGGGACAGGTTTGAGGAAATTCAAAAAGTCATGGAGCAAAAATTCGCGATAAATAAATAAAGAAACTTGGTTTGTGCATGTGCATAAAACGCGGCTAGATCGCAGTTGGTAGACAGGAATGGGGAAGCGGACGGCGACCTTAACTCTAACCCTAACCCAAACCCTAACCTCAACCTTAGAGCTTAACCGTTAACCCTAACGGCAATCCTAGCCCTATCCCGAACACAGAGCCGTAACTGGAAAACCTAGCCGTAATCCTAAAACCTATTCGTACCCTCAAACCCTAACCGTAACCCGAAAACCTAAGCTTAAAGGCATAACCCTAGCCCGAAAATTTAAAACCCGTAACCGGTACCCTTATCCTAACTTCGAACGTAAAACGGAAACCAAATGGGTCAGATGTGATTATGGAGCCCCACAAAATAGCGCCAGTAAACAAACTCCCCAGCCACCTGTAATACGGGGTCTGGCTGCCAACTGCGCTCTAGCCTAAAAGACCTTCAAACCATAAATTGAGTATATCACAGCGAATGAACATAACAAAGTTAGGAATCATGTTGTTGTCTAAGTGAGCATTTAACTTCCTCTGAAAGCACGCGTGATGTTCACTATGGTAGTCACCCCGCCCCCTTTTCTTGCTATGTAAAGTCCTGATCAGTTTTGCATCGTGCCAAGTTGTCGTCGTGCCAGTCACTTGCGTCTTTTCTCGTCTACCTTTTTCTTGACTCTGTCATAACACCGGATCCGGGTGGGGTATGAGAAGAGGTTGCACCGGATGTTGCGCAAGTCTGCGGTTATCAAAAGCAATCCATTACAAGCCATTTCAGACGCCGTTCAGCGTCCCTGTTGCTACCTTGCTGTGGAATAGACGGTTAAAATGTCCCATGAATACCACTCAGTTGTCATACGTTAATCTACGTCCTTAAAATGAAACGTCGGATTGTTACCATGAAAAGGAATTCCCCCACTATTGTTTAAGAGGGAGTTAGCCAGTTTGAAGGTCGTTTTTGGAAGTCAATAGTGATTTCTTGTTTTCAATAGGTGCCGATGTACTAAAGTACAGGGTCCCGGATGATCAAAATATCATGCTAGCCAAGAAAGGAGGGACTTGAAGGACAATTACTGGCCTGTATGCTGTTGCGTGAACCAAAAATGAACACTCACGTCTCTAAATTCAGCGAATATTCCCAGGTTGCAATTGAAAAGTCAATTTGGCAAACACGTGTTTTCGGTAAATCTTCATCAGGCCAAAACGGTTACACAGAAGTTTAAATTATGCGCTTTGTCTTCCGTGGCCAACGCCGACCCCAACGTCGCCCCAACCTCCTGATGGAATTGGTGTGTACACAGCGTACCCGACGTACAAACATTAATCACAGCCTATGTCCCCCCTCTCCCTCGCCCCCCCCCCCTGACCCAATGACCACGACACGCCGACCACGCGATAGCACGCCTCATCATGCGAGTGGCATGGGAACGATGGGTGTTAATGGTCCCTGAACCACTTATAAGCCCTGTAACTGCGCATAATTTAAACTTCTATGTAACCGTTTTGGCCTGATGAAGAGTGACCGAAAACACGTGCTTG